TTGTTTCATCTAATATTTTAATTTTGAAATTTAAAAATTGTTACTGTTCTAAATTTAAAAATTGATAAGCTTTGATAGAAATTTGTGGTCTTTGGGAGACGACCTAGGAAAGCTTCCTAGTACTACATTTATCTGTTTTTATTATTTGACCGAGTACGACATCGATCAACGCCCCTTTCGGGTTCCCTATGATAGACCAGTTATTTTATAGATAAACTTTTGAAATGACGCTTTTACCCTTTTATTTGCGTAATTAAAATGATGACTACATGGCCCTGATATCTATTACGCAATTTAATATGAATAAAAAGACAGTAAAAGAGAGGGAGAGAGTGAAGAAACCTCCGGAGCAAGCTTTTCATTAATTCTCTTGAAAATAGGGTGCGTTTTGGCAGCCCTTCGCTCTTACAACGTCCAAATCTCGCTCGAAAACGCTATAAAAAAGCTCTCTTAGACACTCAGAAACTCCGAAAATGCTTCGGAGGGGCTCTAGGAGAAGAATTTTGAGAAATTGCAAGAGAAGAAATGGAAGAACTGTGTGAAATGAAGGGGAGAGCGCCCCCTATTTATAGGGATTCACGCCTGTTAGGTCGAGACGACGGTCTCGACTTGAATAAGTGGCGAGACGGCGGTCTCGTTTGGCGAGATGGCGGTCTCAACTTGCCAAGTGGCGAGAAGGCCTTCTCGTCAAACGGGAGGGGGGTCTCGCCAATGGTAAGTGGTGAGATGGCGGTCTCGCCAAACGAGACAGCGGTTTCAACTTGCCATTGGTCGAGATGGCGGTCCCGAAAAGCGAGACGGAGGTCTCGATCCCTAATGGCGAAAATCTTTATTTTTGTATAGAAAATCCTTCCTACTCTAATATGGGGCCTAATAGTCTCTTCTAGTGGCTTTTTAGGCTTCGTCCATCTTTGAATAGGAGGTCTTCTGCTCTTAATTTGAGACGGGGCAAGATTTAGGGTCTACAAGGAGTATGAATTATTTCAAATGCAGCAAAATGAAAGCATCACGGATTTCCAGACACGCTTCACACATATAATAAATCACTTGAAAGCATTAGGAAAAAGTTTTGACAATGAGGAGTTGATCATAAAGATCTTAAAATCCTTAGACAAGAATTGGCAACCAAAGGTCACTGCTATTACGGAATCAAAGGATCTCACAAAAATGAATATTGCTACTCTATTTGGAAAGTTGCAAGAACATGAGATAGAGCTACAAAGGTTAAAGAACGGTGAACAGAATCAAACCAAGACGATAGCTCTAAAAGCAGAAAAATCTTCACAAGACGAAAGCGAAAATGAAGGTAAGTTTTCAGACTCTGATATGTCTCTTTTTGTTAAACAATTTTCTCGCTTTATGAAGAACAGGAAAAAGAGACAGCAAAGAAAGGAGAAAACAAATAAATTTCATTGCTATGCATGTGGAAAACTTCGTCATATCAAACCAGAATGTCTGGAACTTAAGAAAGAGAAGAAAGATGTGAAAGAGAAGAAGAAAGAGAAGAACGATACCTATAAGAGCAAGCACAAAGCTTATATTGCTTGGGAGGATAATTATTCTTCCACAACACAAGAGAGTTCTTCCGAAAGCAGTGATGGAGAAGAAGAAGCAAATATTTGCTTGATGACAAAAAGTGATGATGAAGCCTCATCACAGGTAAGTAGTACAAAATACTTAAATGAATATGATGAGTTGTTTAAAGAATATCAAGATATGTATGAAGGTTTTACCAAGTTATCTAAGAAATACAATGCACTTAGGCAAAAGTTTAATGCATTAGAAAATACTGTTGGTATTCTTGAAAAAGAAAATGAGTGCTTAAAGAAAGATGTTGAGAAATTTAAAACTTTGTCTAAAAATAAAGAAGTTGCTAAACCTTGTGAAAATTGTAATCTTTTGGAAAATGAGATTTTCAAGTTAGAGAAAATAATAAGCAAGTTTTCAAAATCTTCTGAAAATCTTGATTCTATATTAGGTTATCAAAGAGGAAATTCTAGCAAAGCTGGGCTTGGTTACAAACCCAAAGAAAGTATAGAACCTCATAAAACTATTTTTGTGAAAGAGTCAAGGAAAATAGATGTGAAACCAGTTTCAAAAACTTTAAGAAACTCATTTAGACATTTTCAAAGAAAACCAACATGTTTTTATTGCATGAAATTAGGTCATACATCAAATAGATGTTACATAAAATATTTTGGCATATCTAATGGCAAATATGAATGGGTGCCTAAAGGAACAAAACATTTATACATGTCTAGATGATAGTTTGAGCATCTAATTGATTATCAAAATCGAATTTTTTTTTTCTTGTTGTCATAATCAATTATGTTGAAAGTTTGAATTTATGAAATTTGAAATTATTAAAGTTTGAAATTTTGCAGTTTGAGATTCTTGAAATTTGAAATTTTGCAATTTAAGATTTTTGAAATTTGAAATTTTGCAGTTTGAGATTTTGAAATTTGAAATTTTTGCAGTTTGAGATTTTTGAAATTGAATTTGAATTGGAATTTGAAATTTGAATTTGAAATTTGGGATTAGAAATTTGAATTTGAAATTTGAAATCTGGAATATGAGTGCATTTGAATTTAAAAGCTGCCTAAATAAGAAGACTGCAATTGGGGGAAACTACTGTATTTCATTCCGTTATCTCTACAATCATTCTATTCCCCTATCTTTCTCTCTCTTCATTTGTCTTGGATATCCTAGATATTGCCTCCTTAATATGATGTTCTTCTCTATGATACTTTGTAATGCACTATCTTCTCTACCTTGATTTATGTACTAATATGTGCAAATTTGTTCTCAGTTACTATTGTAATATTTTTCATAATTATCAATGAAACAAGGAGATATTTTGATGATATTAATTTGTGTGAAACAGGAGGAGATTTTTTTTTCTCTTATAATATTCTTCATAATTATCAATGAAACATGGAGATATTTTGATGATATTAATCTGTGTGAAACAGGGGGAATTTTTTTTCTCTTATAATATTTTTTATGATTATCAATGAAACAGGGGGAGATTTTTGGATGAATTAAAATCTGTGTGAAACTCTTTCCTATCTCTAAATTAAAAAAGGGAAGTTAAGAGAAGTCTTTGCTCATATGATTTATGGGGAGTCTTGTTATTAATATATCCAGGGGAAGATTAAGAGACTCTGACACTTGATACAAATCTGTGTTAATCTGTGCTAATCTTGAGCTGGCTATATAGAGTTAATCATTTTAATTCATTTCAGGTGTTTCCTTGATCATCATCAAAAAGGGGGAGATTGAAAGCAATGAGGGGGAGATTGATGGAAATGTCCCTACATTCCCAAGAGATGATTTTGATGATGATTCAAGTCAACTACATTCAAGTCAACACCATTCAAGATGAATTAAGGACAAGCTGAATTTATGACGTTGGTGAAAATGTGAAACATTTCCCTACATGCCAACGATATGTTTTTGATAAAGATGATGATTCAAGCAAGCCCAAGATGATTCCTGAAAACTAGATAAAGTCTTAGAATGTTGGATATGGAGGTACAAGTTGATGAAGTAATATTATGCATAAGCCTCCAAAGCATAAGTGTGATAAAATTCATAACATGATATTTTGCTCTGTCATAATCAATTATGATGCATCAGAAATGGAAAAATGATTTTCTCAGTCATAATTGATTATACTGGTAATATAATCAATTATGGCAATTCAAATTTGAAAAATATATTCGTTTTAAAGAATAAATGTCTTTGAATACATCCTGATTTTCTCTATAATATTATTAATGTCCAACGACCATTTTCTGATGCTATTTTTCTATTTAATTAATTTTTGATGAAAAAAAAAAGCAATTACAGAATTCGAAAATACAATTTACATTCAATCAGTTTTGAGAAAAGAATTCTGAGCAAGGCAACAGAGATATTTTACACCTTTTGAGAAAACCCTCTTCTCTACTGCCTTCTGTACTTTCATTGTTAATCACACTTGTTCTTGGAGATTGACATTCTACAGGCTTCTATAATTTGTTGTCTTCATTACCCAGGTGTGTCTGTTCTTATTTTTTATTACCTTCATCCTTTTTATATTGGTGAAAAGGAGGTGTTTTTTCCCTAGTGTGATTCTAAGGAGGTGTTCATCCTTAGTGGGATTCTAAGGAGGTGTTTTCATCATTTGATTTGTTCAGAGGAGGTGTTCATCCCTAGTGGGATTCTAGGGAGGTGTTCATCCTTAGTGGGTTTCTAAGGAAGTGATTGTCTTTTTAATTAGTTTACTTTTTACTGGTTCTTCTACTGAGTTGATTGTAATTTGTAAACTGAATTTGAAAGATAGTGAATGGGGAGTCACTCTTGTGTTAAGAATTGACTGGGAACTGGATGTAGGGTTGGTTATACCCGAACCAGTATAAATCTCTATGTGCTCTTCTCTTTCCCTTATCTCTTTCTCCTTTCCTGGTTATATTATTGCTTCCGCTTTATCTGTGTTCAAACAAATTATTGACTCACAAATAAATTTTTAATTTGACATCTATTTTAATTTGTGCATTTATTCACCCCCCCTCTAGATGTCATTTGTCTAACAACTTCCTCTTGAATAGAACCTTTTAGGAAAGCATTGCTGGCATGCACCTTCGTATATGCCATTTTCTTGTGACACTAATGCTCAAGACCGTTTGAATGGTTGTTGGTTTAATGATAGGACTGAATGTCTCAGTATAATCAAGGCCTAATCATTGAGAATACCCTTGAGCTACCAGTCTAGTTTTATGTTGCTGATAAAACCATTAACATTGTATTTCAGTCGGTATAGCCATTTAGAACCAATGACCTTCCTATGAGGAGGCAAAGGAACAACATTCCATGTTTTATTTCGCATGAGAGCCATATATTCTTCCTTCATTGCAGCTAACCATTTATGATTATGCATCCTTGGTACATTGAGGAGTGAGCTCTGTCAGTAAAGCTTTGGGTTTAAAGACGCCAACTTTAGCGCGAGTAGTCATAAGATGAACATTTATGGTAGGAGGAGGATGAAAAGGTTGGTCAGGTACAGAGTTGACAAGTTAATGAAGAGTAGGATTGATATTTGGTGGTAATGATTCAAGAATAAGAGATGGATTAGGAATAGGGTTAGGTAAGGAAGTGGTGGGGTCGGGTGGTGTTTGATTTGGAAAGATGGGAGTATTAATTTGTGGTATAGAAGGAGGGATAGTAGTGAGAAGGGGGGAGGACAAAGGTATTTTGATATTGAGCAAAGAAAGATGGGTTCGTTATTATAGGATATTGGGTTTTATCAAATATGATGTGTCTGACAACGTACTCTTTTTCAGATTTAATGATACATTTATAGCTTTTGTATTTGGTGTTGTAGCCAAGAAATATGTAAGGGTGCATTGATAGTCAAGTTTTGTTTTGGAGTAGGGCAACAAATACGGGTAGAAAAGATAACTGAAAGGTTTGAAAATAGAGTAGTTAGGAGTTTTGTGAAAAATAACCTCAAAGGAAGACTTCTAGTTGAGCACCAGAGAGGGTATGCAATTGATGATGAAGATGTAGTGCTAAATGCTTCGACCCAAAATTTTGAAGGAAGGGAGGAAGCAGTTAGCAAGGTGAGACCTAATTTAGTCAAATGCCAATATTTCCTTTTTAGGGCCCCATTCTGCTCATGAGTATGTGGACATGATATAGTGCTAGATGCCATGATTTGTAAGGCACTTAGTCAAAGTAAGGTACTCCTTAACACCATCAGTTTGCAGAGCCTTTATCTTTCTATTGAGTTGTAGTTCTACCATATTTTTTAATTGAATGAAAATTGATGGGACTTCTAACCTGTAGTGTAAAAAATAAATCCAAATGAATCTACTATGAGCATCTATAAACAAAATATTATATTTGTAATCTTCTTTTAAAGGTATGGGAGAGGACCTCACACATTAGTATAATAGAGATTAAGGGGATAATGATAAATAAACTCAAATAGGAAATGTAAATTTGTGCGATTTTTCAAGATAACATGCTTGGCAAACAAATTTATTATTTGCAGAATATGGAATGTTATAAAGATTCAGGACATGTTTGACAATCTTAAAAGAACAATGAGATCTTCAAAAACATAAAATTTTTCCTTAAGACGACCTTTAAGAAGAACCTTCTAGATTTCTGACATTTAATAACATACTCATTAGGACGACATTCAATGAAAACATCGTTTTCCTTTGTAAATTGGGAAGCATTGATAAGATTTTTGGTTATATCAGGAACATGTAAGAAATTGTTTAAGGTTTAGATTTTTGGAGTAAAAGGATGAACACCTAACATGAGAAATGCATAAACCAGTACCATCACTCAGTGCACACGATCACTGTTATTATAGTCATTTCTTATTATGAGATTGCCAAGATCATGTGTTAGGTAGTTGGTAGCACCAGCGTACGGATACCAAGAATCATTCATGTGGCTTGTTTAAGCCGCAAGCATTTCCTAAATAGAGTTGGTGTTAGAGTCACCATTTTGGATGTGGGTCGTAGATAAGGTTGGTTCAATGAGATTTTCATCAAAGTGATGTCAACAGTGAAACGTAGAATGATCAACACGGCCACAAAGTTGAAATTGGGGTTTTGAACCACGACCTTGTCTGGAATGAGTAAAATCATGTCTGCCACTGCGTCCTTGACCGGGATTTCTTGATCCGCCTAGACCACGACCACAAGGAGTGTTGTGAAATCCTCTTCTTAACTTATTTTGACTATGAATGATGTTTTCTTGAATAGGGGTTATATCGCGTTGTTTGTGACCCTCCAATCGTTCCTCCTGATGCATCTGAGATGCTTCAATTTGAGAAACAGTGAAGGGTTTGAATCAGGTGAAACATGAAGTGATGAGCCCATTGTATTCATCAGGAAGGTCATCAAAGTTCACGTCAATATGTTCTTCATTTGTCAAAGGAGAGTTGATGGCACTAAGGGTTACACCAAATACTCGCTAATGGATCCTTATTTCTTGATGTTACGAAGTTGAATGCGAAGAGTTCTGACTCATGCTTTCATGTGTGTAGAAAAGTATGTTTTGAGGAACGAAGATTGTTGACGTGGGAACCATGGATTCAAATCGATTGGCTTAATCTAATTCCATGTAAGGAGATATCTCAATATTCATTTATTATATAAAAATAAGTTTCTATATATACAGATACATGAATATAATAAGACTTATTTATAATCATCTAGATGTAACTACTCTAACACAAAAACCAATGGCAAGTTACTTCCGATTATCGTGGGAAGTTATTTCCCTCAATCGTTTACAAAGATGTATAGGTATGAAATCCATTTTCTTCCTTTTCTTTGTCTCCAACTGATGTAAAAGTAATTATAGAACAATTTACAAATTTATTTGAATTATGGAAATGGTAAAGAACCAACAATTCAATGCAAATGAAAAAAATACAACAAGATGTGGAGTTTCATAGATCAAATCACTTGAACAAATATAAAATCTATTTCTATTGTACTCCACGGTTTTTTTTTTTTATGAGCAAAGAAAATATATAATATAAAAGGTACAAGAAGTACCAAATGTCCAAAATACAAAAAGAGGACATATACAAGATATCTAGTTGTGTCCATGAATTACATAAAAATAAATACAACAAATTCTTTTTCTACTATTTTACACCATAAAAACATTACAAAAATTCCTTTCTTATAGGTAACTTTTCACTCTCAAGCGTAATTCCATCCTAACTTAGAACTTGTTCAAACCTATAACTCAATTGAAAACGTGCCCTGTAAATACTCTATATATAATTCACCTTTTATGTTTCACATCCTACACCACCTCTTCGTTTCAATATATAGACTTATTTTCTATTTCCCTCCTTTATCAAATCTTATTTTTTTACTTATGAAATTGTAACTTACTTCATCCACTCATCCTCCCTTGCATGCTTTTCAAATTATCTAAGCATTTGTGCATTAATATTTCTCCTCTACCTAGCTAAATATACATATCCCTTTGTTGCATTGCTTACATGTTAGAACACATTCTTGGTCTCCTACCTCTACATCTCTTCTCTTTCACGACTTTATACATAACATCTTCCATAATGCCAATTTAGGTAGTTAAACATACTATATGAGAAATGTATCACTTTTACATTGTTTTGTATATTGCATCTTTATTAATACCCTTCTATAAGTATATTTTCTCTCCAATTTCGTCATCACCCTTAAGATCTTGATAAAACAAGATATTGTTATTCAAAACAACTTCAAACTTTCACAAACACAACCTACATTTGAAAACCTTACATTATATCCTTGCTAACACCAATAAACTGACTTTACATATGAATATCAATTACACATGTTATACTATTAAGATACCAATAAAAAAATAAGAAAGAATCCTTTCAAACTTGTTAAAAATTCAATCTCAATTGTGTCATTACAACATTTCCTTTACACTTGATAAGTGTCAAATCTTTATGTTTGTACCTTTATTTACAACACTTATTTCATGTAATTATCAAGAAATCATCTATAAAAACTCCTAGTAACTTCTAATGATATATATTGAGTTTTGAAGAGTTGAGCGAATTTTATTTTCACTCAACGAATCAAGACGTGAGAAATGAGGAGCTAATATCTTAAAACCACTAAGCAGCTTGTGAATCCGCTAAATAGAATTGAGACAATATTGATCATATATAGGGCAACTAGAAACACTGAGCGAATTGGAAAAGTGTTTGATGGTAGTACAGAAAGCATTGAGCGCCAAGGAAACCTGCTAAGTAAATTTGCAATAGAAAGTCTGACTTTCAAGAGGGCAAAAATATTGAGCATATAATGGAATCGTCGAGCAAAATGAAGTCCTTCAAGATGAAGAAACCTAAATTAGCTAGAAACAGAAATTGAGAGTGAACTTGGGAAACGTAATCTAAGTATTAAGTTAAATTTTGTAAACTATATTTGTAATACACTATTGTTTTAATATATCGGATGTTTTAATTGAATGAGAAATATAATTATATAATATTTTTTAAGTATATATAAATTGTAATATTGATTAAAATCACGTTATCTCATTAGCACTTTATATTTAGAGAAATATATAATTTGAACTAAAATTCACCATTTTGTTTTTTTATTATATTCTAAGTCATTGGCAATGTTTAAAGTTGATAAATACCAAGAGGTAGTCAATAGACAATACGAAATTAATATTAATTATTAAAAGTCACTTAAAATTTGCTTAATTTGTTTGATATTGGGAAATCATTTGATCGCAGTGGTCTAGTGATTGTTCCGATGGGATTAATTTGGTGACTTAGTTGATGATGGAAAAATATATCTCATTATTCTAATGAAAAAATAATATATATATATATATATATATATATATATATATATTATATAATGAATTTGTTTCATCGAATTTTGATATTAATTTTAGGAGTAAAAAATAAATAAATATAAAAAATAAAAAATAAGAAAAGATAAAATTATGTAAGAAATGGAAATATATATATATATATATATATATATATATATATATATATATATATTATTAAATTTGAGAGTTTGAAAATATATATAAATTACAAAATAATGAGACATGTCCCTCAAATTTCATTAATAATAATAATAATAATAATAATAATAATAATATATATTATTATTATTATTATTATTATTATTATTATTATTATTTTCTGGAACCACCAATCGTTTTCTATATGATAATTATTATTAGATATGCTATCGTGATACATTATCTTAACATTATAAAAGTCAAGCTCATACCATTATGTAAAGCCAAATCATTTGTAATTGGATATCATACCATTATTAATCTGATCAAGATTTTATAAACCTTTACTTCAAATAGTATTGGACTAGCTATAGTGACTTAAACAAGATAGGAAGATTTATTGTGATTCTTTTGTTTTCATAATTTCCATAATTTTTTTGCCAAAATTACATGTTAATTAATTGGTTCATCAACAAAACAAGTTGTAGGTCGTGTCCAAGGCTATTAGAAGGTAATAACTCAACTTTTCTGACCTATTGATAACTAATCTTATTTATATTTTAAAATATATTACAATTTTTAGTTTAATCTTCAGTGAGTTAAGTTTGGCTTTATTTTTTTTTCTTTTTTAAATATAATATGTTTATATTCAAGTAACTACAAAATTAATTTAAAAAAAATAATTAAAAAGTTAAAAATTAAAATAATTTTAAATTATATTAATAAAATTAATTTTTATTTTATATATAATAATTTTATATGTAAAGAACGAAATAAAATATCATCTAATTCCAAGAATAAAAATTTAAGAACTACATTTCTTAATCATAAATATTTTTTTAGTAATTTAATTATTTAAATAATAATTTATTTTAACAATTAGATGATAAGAAAATAAAAAATAAATCTTTAACTCGTATCCTTGAAATAGCTAAATTAATTATATATTTAATAAAATAATATTATAATTATATGTTGTTGAAAGTAGGAACTGTTGTTAAGTTTAACAATAGTTTAATAAAAGTTCAATTCACTATGTTTATTATTTATATATTTAGAACTTTGATTTATTACCAGGTAAATACTTCAAAGTTAGAGATTGATACTCCAATTAGATGATATTTTGATAATAATTTTTAAATAAATTATATTTATATTTATCCGTGTAAATATATAAATATAAAATATATAAATATATAAATATAAAATATATAAATACAAAATATATAAATACAAATATATTTATATATATTTATATAAATTTAGATATATTTACATATATTTATATATTTATATATTTATATATTTATATATTTATATATTTATATATTTATATATTTATATATTTATATATTTATATATTTATATATTTATATATTTATATATTTATATATTTATATATTTATATATTTATATATTTATATATTTATATATTTATATATTTATATATTTATATATTTATATATTTATATATTTATATATTTTATATTTTATATTTATATATTTATGTATATATTTTATATTTTATATATATATATATATATTTTATATTTATATATTTTATATTTATATATTTATATATATATATATATATATTTTATATTTATATATTTTATATTTATATATTTATATTTATATATTTTATATTTATATATTTTATATTTATATATTTTATATTTATATATTTTATATTTATATATTTTATATTTATATATTTACACGAATAAATATAAATATAATTTATTTGTAAGTTATTATCAAAATACTCTAATAGTTTAGTGGTTGAATTATTAGTCTTTAATTCTGAGGTACTAAGTTCGATTCTTAATATTTTGTAGATAATAAGTTTTTTTTTAGTGTATATATATAGTTAAAACTTAAACAAATTATTAAAATTATTTATAAATAACATTACACCAATTATTAAATTATTGATTAAATATAATCTGACCATTAAATATAATTTGACATAACAAGTAAAGTGTGAAATTTCAATAAAGTATTAAAATGTCAAATGAAAAAATTGTGTCGGCTCAATTCAATTTCTATTTCAATTGGGGAAAAATTGAAGTCTGATTAACCGATACTATATTGAACTAATGGTTATTTCGATTGGTTTCAAAGAAAATAATATATATATATATATATATATATATATATATATATAAATTTAAAATTAAGTTATATACATACATATAATAATAATAATAATAATAATAAAAACAGTAGTATTTTTTTAAAATTATAATTATTATTTTAAAAATAATCTATTCATAGTCCAACATCAATCTATTTAAAGCGCATGTTAAACATACTG